GTGGCAGCTCTGAGCCGGGGACAAGGACGGGAGCAAGTGACCTGTGGTGGGAACCCTGATGTGGTGACAGGGAACCCTGATGTGGTGACAAGGAAGGGACGACGTGTCCGCGGTGGGAGCTCCGAGCCGGTGAGAAGGATGGGGCAGCGGGGCTGGCGGGGGGGGGGCTGTGGGGGGGGGGGGACAGCGTGGCCGGTGGTGGGGTCTCTGAGCTGGTTGTTAAGGACAGGACAGCGTGGTCGGAGGAGGGAGCTCTGAGCCTGTGGCGAGGAAGGGCCTGCGTGGCTGGCGGTGACAGCTCTGAGCTGGTGACACTGTTGGGACCTTCTGGCCGTTGGTGGGAGCTCTACCGTGGTGGAAAGGAAGGGACAGTGTGGCTGGTGGCTCGATCTCTGACCTGGTGACAAGGACGGGACGGTGTGGGTGGCGCTGGGAGCTCTAAGCTGATGAGGAGGATGGGACAGTGTGACTGGTGGTGGGAGCTCTGAGCTCGTGTCACCGAGGGGACACTGGGGCCGGCGGTGGGAGAGCTTAGCTGGTGACGAGGAGTGAAAAGCAGGGGCAACGGCGGGAGCTGAGAGCCGGGGGTGAGGCTGGGACCTTCTGTCGGCGGTGGGAGCTCTGAGCTGGTGACAGTGAGGGGACACCAGGGCCGGCGGTGGGAGCTCTGAGTTAATGAGAAGGACGGGATTTTGTGGCTGGTGGGTGGGAGCTTTGAGCTACGGACAAGGACGGGACAGCGTGGCCGATGGTGGTGGGACCTCTAAGCTGATGAGAAGGATGGCGGACTCACGGCAAGCGACAAGGGAAGGGACACGGCGGCCAGTGGAGTGAGCCCTGAGCTCGTGACCATGGCGGGACAAGGTGGCTGGTGGTGGGAGCTCTGAGCTCGTCGACAAGGTTGGTCCCTCCTGGCCACGGTGGGATCTCCGGGCGTGCGACAAGAATGAGACGGTGTGGGGCGTGGTGAGAGCCGTGAGCTGGTGGCAAGGACGGGACAGCGTGGCTGGCGGCTGGAGATCTGATGTAGTTACAAAGGAAGGGACGGCGTGGACGGTGGTGAGACCTCCGAGGTCGTGACAAGGAAAGGACTACGCGGTTGGTGGTGGGAGTCGTGAGCTGGAGACAGGGACGGGACAGGGTGGCCTTTTTTTGGGACCTCTAAGTTGATGAGGAGGATGAGGGCCTCGTGGCAAGTGATGAGGGAAGGGACAGCGGGAGGGGGGAGGGGAGCTCTGAGCTGGGGACAAATTTGGGACCTTCTGGCCAGTGGTGGGAGCTGTGAGCTGGAGGCAAGGACGGGACAGCGTGGTCAGTGGTGGTAGATCTGAGCTGGGGGACAAATTTGGGACCTTCTGAACCCTGGTGGGAGCTCTGAGCCAGGGACAAGGAGGGGACGGTGTGGTCGTCGGTGGTTGCTCTGAGCTGGTGACAGTGTTGGGACGTTCTGGGTGGTGGCGGGAGCTCTATGTGGACAAGAAGGATGGGACAGCGTGGCTGCTGGTGGGAGCTCTGAGCTGGTGAGAAGTTGGGACCTTCTGGACCACGGCGGGAGCTCTGAGCCGGGGACAAGGAGGGGACGCTGTGGTTCTTGGTGGTTGCTCTGAGCTGGTGATGGGTTCCCCCCCGCACCCTCTGCCCCAGGGTGGGGGGGTGGCCCCGGGGAGGGG